TCCACTTCCTTCAAGAAAGTAGTAAATGATTAGTCGCTTATCGATTTTAACCAATAACCCAACCGATAATGGTGTTTAATGGTTAACCGATAGTCACTAATTTCTTAGTGGTTAACCGCAAATCGATTAGTTAACCGATAAGAAAACCGATAACCGCGTACTAGTATAACCACATAGATTTGGTCTTTAGCTAAGGCGAAAAAATCCCAAGATTCAAAACCAACCAAAGTCGCAATTCTAGACATCTTAATTTCTACTTCTTACAAACAACCATCCACCCAAAGTCTTAAATGTGTTTAAGAGTCAGAACCCAAAAGTTATCCTCTCCGACTCCCCTTTGCAATTGACAGAGCGAACATCACACCCTAATAGTCTTTGTTTCTATGAGGTTTGTGGATGATGATGATATCTTGTGGTTATTGTGTTTGATTTCTTGGTAGTTAGTACTCATTAATTAGATGAATCGTTTAATTATTTTAAATTTTATGTGGTATTGATGTTATTTCTTATCATTAGTATTTTGTGTTTATAATGTAGCAGTGTAGTAAAATTGATTTACAGGTGGTTGTGATTAAATAATACTAGTTAAACTTAATTGGATGATGATTTGGGTATTATAAGTGGTTTTGTTTTTTGCTTTATTATATTAAATAGAAGTTATTGGTTTGATATTTGCTTTGATTATGTATACTAGTAGTTGTTGGAACGTATTTTAGTGGTTATTGGTTAACCGTCAAACCAACCGCTGACCAAAACGATAAAATATATATGGTTAACCAATAAAACTTATCGGTTTGGTTATTAATATGAGTTTTTTGCTTATTGATTAACCACTAACTGCTATATCGATTAGTGATTAATTGACACTAAACCGATTACCACTCATATTTCCTTGATCCGTAGCAGCGCGTTTATAACAGGATGGGTACGTAGTATTCAAAGTTTGAAAGATAGAAAATGTAGGGGAAATTTTGAGAAGATGAAGAAATGGATGTGACGGGTTTAGAGAGAGTAAGATTTGAATTGGAGGGGGGCCCTAAACATGGTTTTCAAAGGTTGGAGTGACGACAGTTGGACCCTCCAGGTGGCCACCGCGATGGTTAGGCTAGTTTTTGTCAGTTTTTCTATATTTTCATATGATTTCATTTACCGGGTGGGTTCGAAAGTAAATTTTGTATACCTTAATCTTCATATAAAGTCCTCTAATTCATCATAATTCTGAAATAATCCATCGAAATATTTTACCTATCCAAATGATAAAATTGATCATTAGCATTCTCCAAAGGGTAACTCAAAATTTTAAAAGAAAGTGGAAAAGAAAAGAAACAAGAGAAATCGAGGTTGTCTCTACGATAGCTTAACGTCATTACGTTTGACGCCAGACATGAGCTACCTACCAGGAAGTGCTCTTTTATGCATTTGAGCTAGGCGTAGCTAGGATCCGTTTAAATTTTTGCCAATCAGGCTCTCAAGTCCATCCATCGCCTCATTCGCTGTTATTCTCCGTTGATAGTGCAGAGTGATGTGGATTGAATCCATAATGAAGAAAATAGGTGGTCGTAAGCTTGATATTCCTCCGAAGTGTCATACTCCACTTCCTTCAAGAAAGTAGTAAATGATTAGTCGCTTATCGATTGTAACCAATAACCCAACTGATAATGGTGATTAATGGTTAACCGATAGTCACTAATTTCTTAGTGGTTAACCGCAAATCGATTAGTTAACCGATAAGAAAACCGATAACCGCGTACTAGTATAACCACATAGATTTGGTCTTTAGCTAAGGCGAAAAAATCCCAAGATTCAAAACCAAACAAAGTCGCAATTCTAGACATCTTAATTTCTACTTCTTACAAACAACCATCCACCCAAAGTCTTAAATGTGTTTAAGAGTCAGAACCCAAAAGTTATCCTCTCCGACTCCCCTTTGCAATTGACAGAGCGAACATCACACCCTAATAGTCTTTGTTTCTATGAGGTTTGTGGATGATGATGATATCTTGTGGTTATTGTGTTTGATTTCTTGGTAGTTAGTACTCATTAATTAGATGAAGTTTAATTATTTTAAATTTTATGTGGTATTGATGTTATTTCTTATCATTAGTATTTTGTGTTTATAATGTAGCAGTGTAGTAAAATTGATTTACAGGTGGTTGTGATTAAATAATACTTGTTAAACTTAATTGGATGATGATTTGGGTATTATAAGTGGTTTTTTTTTGCTTTATTATATTAAATAGAAGTTATTGCTTTGATATTTGCTTTGATTATGTATACTAGTAGTTGTTGGAACGTATTTTAGTGGTTATTGGTTAACCGTCAAACCAACCGCTGACCAAAATGATAAAATATATATGGTTAACCAATAAAATTTATCGGTTTGGTTATTAATATGAGTTTTTTGCTTATTGATTAACCACTAACTGCTATATCGATTAGTGATTAATTGACACTAAACCGATTACCACTCCTATTTCCTTGATCCATACACATTATGTTTTGGTGTCTGACTAAGCTACCGTCTCAGTAAATTGTTATTGTCAGCGTCAAATGTAGGGAGTACATTGATTAGGATATTTAATCTAGCAGCCATAGAAATCTCTCTCAATTGTGATTATTTTATCATCATCATCATCATTTAAGAGAGTAGCTAAGATTTGTTCATGCCACTGTAATTTTACCTAAAAGTTGGCTAAGATTTGGTCATGCCACTGTTGTAATTTTACCTAAAAGTTGAGGCAGTTTTAGCACCCGTCACTCGGCCATGTGGCTTGGTACAACTAAACCAAGTAAAGCCACTTAGCTACTTGCACATAACTTTTTTTTTTTTTTTTTGTAGCAACATAAAATTTTACCTACTGCCATAGTGCTTTAAAGAACGAAACTTTCAATTGGGATCATTATGATTCAGAGGAATGATAGAGCTCAAGGCAGAGGCGTGAGCCCTAACGGGCTCTACTTGAACAGCTCAATATTGTCCCTCCACATCGTTGCTGTTCTTGAAGCCGAGGAATGATAGAGCTCAAGGCAGAGGCTGTGAGCCCTAACGGGCTCTACTTGAACAGCTCAATATTGTCCCTCCACATCGTCGCTGTTCTTGAAACCGAAATGCCTTTCGATGATTCTCAGGCTGCTTTGTTGATCAAAACCGTGTTCCTCCCAATCAACCCTCGTTTCTCCTCCATTATGGTAATGTAGTGATACAACATCTTCTTAGATTCTTTCAGATAATCTGTTGTAGGTTGTATCGACCATTATATTTGATTCTGAAGACCTCGTATATTTTGCTAAAAAAATGTATCGAGAAACTTGATTAGATTGCAAATGTTTAGTGGAATTATCATTTATGCCTAAGTGCAATGAACATGTAATGTGCGACCTCATTTAATGAACACATGTTATGCCCATATTTTGTAGGTCACGGGTCCAAACAGAGAAAAGCAATGGAAGGGAGTGGAAGTGAACTTGAGGAAGCACATCCACACTCCAATATTCCCAGAAGGAAAATCCCCTGAATTTTACGACGAATGTTTGGCCGACTACCTCTCCGAGCTGTCGGCGGAGGAGCTGCCGTCGAGCCAGCCGCTATGGGAGATCCACATCGTCAAGTACCCAACAGTCACCGCCGCCGGCAGCATAGTTTTCAAGCTCCACCACTCGCTCGGCGACGGCTACTCCCTCATGGGCGCCCTTCTCTCTTGCCTTGAGCGAGCCGACGATCCTTCTCTTCCCCTGACTTTCCCAGCTCTCTGCTCCCTGGACGCCAAGGACAACAGCGTCGCCGGCTGCATCGATGTACTAATGAACGGCGCCGTCCTGGGGGTGAAGAGAGCAGGTAAAGTTTTCTCCGCTGCCTGTAATACAATGTCGGATTTCTGTTTCAGCTTGATCATGAGCACCCTGGTCGAGGACGACGTCTCGCCGCTTCGATCTGGGAGCTCGGCGGTGGCCACGGAGTTCCGGCCGGTTTCCATAGCCGGAACCGCGTTCTCCCTCGATCAGATCAGGGAAATCAAGTCCAGGATCGGAGCGGTAAGAGCAAGAAAACCCTAATTCGTGCGATTGAAGTAACCCCCTGTTGCTCCCCTGCTATTTTTACACCCGTGTTGCTGTTCGATATGGGCAGACGATAAACGATGTGATTACAGGAGTAATCTTCCTAGGAGCTCGGCTGTACATGGAAGAGATGGAAGCAGGATCAGGGGACGCAAGTGCCACGGCATTGGTGCTGTTGAACACCAGGATGGTGAGAGGTTACACATCGATTCAGGAGATGGCAAAACCTGACAGGAATTCCACCTGGGGGAACCGCTTCGCTTTCTTGCACGTTCCCATTCCCAAACTACAGGGTAATCAAGATCCACTTCAGTTCATCAGAAAGGCCAGGAGAATCATCCTGAAGAGGCGCAACTCGCTGGCTATACACCTCACTGGTAAAACCCTGGACCTCATCCGGAAAACCAGGGGTCCAGAGGTAAAAACTGCAGCAAACTACTTGGCTTAATTTGTGTTTCCGGATCCTGTAAGTTGAGTGTCACGATTGTTGGCAGGCGGCAGCAGGGTACGTATCGAGGACGATCAGGAGCGTGAGCTTGGTGATTTCCAATGTGATTGGCCCCGTGGAGAAGGTCTCCGTCGCGAAGCAGCCCGTGAAAGGGTTGTACTTTTTTGTGACAGGCAAGCCTCAGGTATTTTCGGATACATCACTCACTCCCAACATTTTTCTCATTAGAAATGGTGTTTACATTGACGAGCCCTTTTGGTTGTTTGGCAGAGTGTTGGAGCATCAGTGGTGAGCTATATGGGGAACCTGAGAGTAACTGTGGGAGCTGAGAAAGGCATTGTAGATACCAACAAGTTCATTTCTTGCATTGAAACTGCATTCGAGATAATACTCCACTCTTCCCCCACCTAAAAATTGTACCTAGGATTCGGTCGTGGTGGCTTCTGAAGACCGAAATTCTATAGGTTCCTTGTCTGTACTTAAATTAGTAATTCAGATTGAGATCAATCAGTCTTATCCATGGAAAAATTCTTTCACAAATCGGATAACTGAAAGCAGAGACTGAAACAGGGAAACTGGGAACGTAATACGAAAATTGCTCAGAAATCTGAACGTCGTAGTAACTCGCCTACAAACATTGACTTAATCAAGATTCCAACCAACAACAACCCGATTACATGCCGATCTCCCATCCTGTCGGCTCCATTTGAGTAATTACTGGTAATCTCCTTTCCAGGCGCTGGAGATAGCGAGCTGTTGTTCTCTACGTCCCCAGCTGGTTCTGGCGCTAGTCCTGGATATGGGGATGGCTGAGAAATGGGCGCATGATGCGGAACAGGCGACGGCGGCGGTGAGAATCTTGGCGGGGAAGGGGAAGCCGGCGTCAGCGGCAGCGGCGATGCTGGCGGATGTGGTGCGGTGGTGGCAGGGGGTAAAGGTGCAGGGGATGATGGTATAATTAGCGGTGGAGCGGCGGGCGGCCTCTGGTGTACGACGACGGCGACTCTGAGGCCGAGATCACAGTAATTGGACACATTACAAATGTAGTAGAAAACGCCCGTGTGAGATAGCTCGACGACGGCAGGTCCGATTGTGAAGACCTGCAAGGGAGCGTTGGCGATGCAGCCCTCGAAGTCGTGCCTCAGCACTTGTACCACGTTGAACAACTCCGTCGCGAACTGGAAAGCTGGGAAATCCGGCCAATGACAAGAGAAATGGAATTACTGCAATGGAGGTACAATTGTAATTAAGGGAAATGATTGTGGATGATCAACTGTACCGAGAGAGTCTCCGACGTAGAAGGCGTGGGCGGAGGACCAGTGGGAGTAGAAGTCGGAGGTGGGCGGGATGGACCAGATTGAGTCCCCGACGGTGTAGCGGAATCCTGACGCGGCGCCAAGTAGTAGCATTGCTGCTGCAATGGCCAGTGTGATGCCATGGCGGCGCTTGGGAAGACAGGCCATAGCATAGAGAGAGAGAGAGAGAGGATTCTGGAACTTGAAAGGAGGGAAGGTAGTGGGGCGGATTGTTTCTTGATTCTATTCGTTTTCTGCTTGAAATGGCCGGGGAAAGTTGTAGAGTTCAATGGTAACTGATGGTAATCAATTCGTGAAATGGGATTACTGGACTGCCTGCCTGCCTGGTTGGCAGAGTCATCTCATGAATGAATATTTATAATTCAGCCAACGGTAGAGTTGATAAGAGTTGTGTCATCATTCAGGTGCTACGATGGTTGTTTCAATGTGGCAAAACAAGTTGGTTCATGGTTAGTTCGTACACTTGTCAATCAATATTTTTTTTCTTCTTATTTTGATGATGTAACTTGACTTGCAAAAATCGAATATATTTTCGAATATAAACGGTTCTGAGGTTCCCCTTTGAAGATGCCGAATATGACAAAAAAGAGTAGAGTTGTGCCACCTACCCCTAGGTTACTAGGTAAGATGAGAATTTTGCGTGAAAATATAGAATAATTAATCTTGTTACAACCTTTTTCATTTTTACAAGAAAGTTGCATGCATGTCACTTTAATAGTGAAACAAAGGTTAGGGTCAAAAGGCACATGAAAAGATACTGCACTAGTAAAACAAAGCTCATTACAAAAAAATCAGATGAATCGGAAAGTGAACCCCAATTAGAACATGTCCACAAAGATAACTCACATTTTCCTATACTACTCAATGAAAACATCAGCCCAAGTTGTTTTCTCTTCTCCATCCTGAGCCACCGAGAAAACCAATCCGCCGACCTGCAGATCACCATGCAATGAATCCAAAGCCAAAATGAAAGACATGCACAACCAGAAGGACCACAAAGACTAGAGAAACGGCTTCTCACATGAATAAAGAAGAGAGATGAGATTGAAGAAGATGCATCCCTGACTCCATCATAAAAAAAATTAGCATCCAGGTCGCTGCATGTGAGGAGACCTTTGCATCTTCGAAACATTGACATGATGAATAAAGTCGGGAGATAGTTGAGAGGTTAGATGGTGAGAAGACAAGCTACCAATCAGAGATCCATGCCCCCTTTTTCCATTGAGAAAATCTCTAAGCACATCTTAAGGACGAAAAAAAGGTGTCTGTAACTGGAAACATCCATCTGACAATGAGAGGTAGAAGGAAAATCTCACGAAAGGGTAGGAAACCGACAGATGAAGGTGAAAAGACAATGCAAAAAGCATAAAAAGAAATAAGAGTATTTACGCTTTGTTTGGCAACGATGTGTTACAAATTGAGTTCTAAATTTTAGAAGGAGTAAATTTAGTGAAGTTTGGGATAAAGGTAAGAGTTTGTATAAAGTAAAGTGGGTGTAAAACAAAAATATTTAAAATAAAAATAAATAAATAAACTAAATTGTCCCACATTTTCACTACCTTAGCCCCACCTTCCACTAATAAGAACCAAAACTCATACTCATCCCTCACTTCCCCTCTCCCGTCCTTCCCATTTGCACCCCAAATGGGCGGAGGGGGAGGCAAAACAGTAACTTGCTCCCCTTTGCAACCCCCTACCTTGTTGCAACTTATACAAACAAGTATAATTGCTTAGAAATTTGCATTTGCACCCCCTTCCTTTAGCACCCCATCCAAACAGAGTTAATGACAATCCATGAATGCTCTAACGTAATCAAGTTAATGAGTCTATATTTGACAGGAGTTGTTTGGGGCTAATTTAACTTCTATTAGTTGTATTTTATAAAAATATATCTTTCTATTAAATGGTAGTCGAATTTTGGCAAAGAACTATGCTTTTCGAAGCTAGTGCCCTGAAATTATTGTTAGGGATGGAGGATATGAACACATACAAATATTCATCTATCTATATGAATGGATTGGAGACAAGAGATCATTTGTTTCTTCGACGCTCATTTGTTCAACAGGTAGTGCAGAGTGTGTTTGCAGATATTGTATTGGTCTGCAACCTAAGGAGAGGATGGCAAGAGGAAGTTCATGAAGCTTCTTTGATATTTGGAAAGTTTTGCGCGGGAGATGGTAGTTAGTGAAGTTTGGTGCAAGAGATTGATGTCGTCAAGTATTAACCAAGAAGAGCTTGCAGGTTATAGTGATTGCAAGCAAAATGAAAGAAGTGGTCAAGATTCGCAGGATAGCTTGAAATTGTTTTGAAGATGCTTTAGGTGGAAGGATGGAGGAGTGAGAGGATTGTAGTTTGTTTCTAGTTTCTTGCTATTCTGATTAGTTGGTTAGTAGTTGAAGATTGTTAAAACTCTTGTAGATTGATCGTATTGATGAAATAAAATCTTATTTATAAAAAAATTATTTTATGAAAAACCATTTTTATAAAAAATTTATTTAATTACGTAGATATAAATTTACAAGACTTAATCATCATTACAACCATGGATATAAAATCATCAAATTCATAGTAGAAATATGAATGCTCATAAGAAAATTACAATTAGAGCACATTCCAAACACACTAAAAATACACCGAAAAATCTATCCTACTAATCTTATAAAGCTACCACGCTAATCCTCCATCTCTGTGAGTTGTTGATAGATTGGTGATACTGCAATCACTTTCAAGACATAACCACACAACCTATGAGCGACCGTTGCTTAGTTAGATGATCACGAGCAGGGCCTGAAACTTTATATTTAACATTGTCTCTCTAATTCTATGAAAGTTGAGGAACTATGATTTCCTCACCCCTATCATGCATAAAAAAACCATGGCAAATAATAAATGCTAAGGAAAGTAAAAGAGAAAGAGTCGGAAAATAATGATGATATCCCAAATGGATGGTTGTGGGCTGCAGACCATGCCATATGGGGCCATCAACTTCTTCTGGACGGCTGTGATTTTGTCACTTAACTTACTGCTCCTTTCTGGAGCTGTTATGCTTGGTCGATAAATTGGTTATCTGCATATGTCATCCGATATGGCCACTTAATAGTAACATTTATGCTTCAATATCCATTATCGATTAGTTTTGACAATGATAGGATAGCAACTTTTTAAGAAGAATGATATTGTTATTGTAAATATATACCTTGAATTTTTGGATAATCGTGATAAACTGATTATCCATTTGTAGAAGTGCACTTGCTTGCTATTTTATTGGCTTCAATTGCCAATTTTCTCCATTGTTTGCTATGCAACCCCTACATAAAGTTGATAGGAAGTGTCACCGTTTATGGTTCCAAAGCAAAGACTGCCAAACAATTACATTTTTTGATCCTCTGATTTCTTTTTTGGTGGAAATGATCCTTTGATTTTCTATCCTAAATCTCATTATATTTTAGGTAGCACCCAACAAATTTGGTACCTAATATCCTAATTCAATAAGAGAATAAATGTTAGCCAATGTGGATCTTGGCCTGGTAGCAACCACACCAGACCGCCTGAACTACAATTTAAACTAAAGAGTAGCAAGAAGTATAATTCCTTCCCTATCGTTTCCTTGTGAGTCGCATGAATCTCATGGCCCTTGGTACAACAAATTTGTCAACAGGTACACTAGCATAATGAAACTATGAAGGAGGATGATCTTAATGATGAGATACTGGAAGATTGTGTTCCTTTGTGCCAAACAATCCCATTCAAGGCAATGAAGTAGGTGATGTATCATTGAAGATGGTGTTCTATGTTGATTGTAAAGGTTATTGGACGCTCCTTCCCATTTCTCGTTGATAGACCAATAATTACACATGTTTCTACCCCTATTCTTGAGCCGTTTGAGATGTCGATTCCCGCGTTTTAGGCCGATTTCACGGTAGGTTGTTCGTGTTTGTGATATTTCAGGTCCTAGCACATGAATAAATGCCTGGGAACGAGTTCGGGGTCGATTGGATGAAGATTGGACGTTTGGCGAGAAGCTGGGAAGCCACACGGGCACCATTGCACCTCACACGGCCGTGTAGGGGCCCCTTGTGGCCGTGTGAAGGCTCGGTAAAAGCCACACGGGCAGCCTGGGGAGCCACACGGCCGTGTGGCCTCTGCCCGTGCATCTTGCCTAGTTGCCCACTAATCGAAACGCCGCATTTGGACACTCACACGGGCAGCTGGGAAAGTCACACGGCCGTGTGAGTTGGGAAATTCTGGGTTTTAACCCAAATTCGAGCCAAAGGAGAGGGAGAGCTGGGTTTTGGATCCCAAATACCCAAGGACGAACTAAAGAGAGAGAGGGTGATTTGAGGGCATTCTTGGAGTGGAATTGGAGGATTTCTTCGCCTTGGAAGCTCGAGGAACAAGCCCGAACTTGAAGACTGATCATCTGAAGATTCTTACTGCAGTCTCTCTCTTCTCTATGGAGTAACTTCCCTTCACTTAGGTTTTGAGGAACCCTAGCTATGTTTGTTTGATTGGATGATTGTATGAGTACTCTGACTTGATAATCTTGAGTTCATATTCAATCTATGCATGTTTTCATGATTCAATTCTGCTTTAGTCGAGATTATTGATTCTGCTTTGATCCTATGAGAGCGAATACCTGATTAGGTCAATAGAGCACCATAGATTGATAGTAGTGGATTGATTGCTTTAGTCGAGGGTTGATTCACTGCTTTGTATAGATTGAGAAACTCTTTCGATAGAGGGAATCTAGTTCAGAACGCCTTGATCGGTTGTTCTAGAGAAGGATACGTCCCTCTAGGCAATTGACTCAAGAGGGCCTTGTTCCTTTAGTCGAGACTCAAGGTCTAGTTAAGGATTCTCCGCATTGTGAATGAAAGTGAAACAGGTTAGAGATCATCAATCATTAATCTGGCTAGTGGCTAGGGGGAATCATACCTAAGTGAGTTCCCAACCTGTAATTAGATTAACTTTAACTGTAGTTTGCTAGAGTAGTTTTAGTTCTTTCATCTTAATCTGGTTTGCTAGATAATGAACTGAAGCTGAGTAATAGTAACTCTAGAGACCCGTGGATTCGATATTTATTACTTGACCCACTATACTGCAGTCCCTTTCATTGGTTACACTTGGCCATTGTTAGGTGTTGTATCATAGCGAGTCACTCATCCTTTTAAATTTGAACGACTCGAGGCTCTCTAAGAAAAGCATGTAAGTCTACATATATTGAGCATATCCTATTAGTTCTATGTTGTGTATTTCCCAAGACATTTTTATTGTGCACAAGCGGCTGTTAGGGTCCCTTGGATGATTTGGGGCACTATCTAATTGTACA